TTTGGGCATTTAGCAGATCTGTAGCTTTTGAAAGGTTATTTAAAATCTTTATCTTCTGTTTTCTCATTAGTAGTATAATAGTAACTCTCTCATGGGGAGGTTGAAATATTAAATGAGATAATACTTTAAACAATAAATATTAGTTATTATTATTGATTGGGTACAGAAGTTACTCAAGCCAGATTCTGAGGGTGGTCCAACCAGTGGCCAGTCTTAACCTAAAGCGGTAGTCAGGGTTGAGGGCAAAGTGACATCATTAAGATCTACCTGAACCATATTGGACGTTTTTTTCACTCTTTACAAGGTCTTGAGTTGACACGCTATAAACAGTTACTTAGAATCTTTACATTTAGAAGATTACAAGGTGTATTATTTTAAATAACGATCATTTAGAGATTCTCCTACCTCAGGCTGTCAATATTTCAAAAGCAAAAACATATTGCCTATTACATAAAAAGCATTCAATAAATGTTTATTGAATAACCTTTGAAAAATGAGGTATCATCACTATCAAATTATGGAAATTTCTCCCAAGATTCATCTGTAATGTTTACAGGTAAATTGAACAAAAGATTACTTTTAATACAGTGTATAGAGATTGCTCTATAATGTTCATATAGAAGGCACTTTGGTATTGAATTTTGGTTGGAAGAAGGAAACTTGTCTTGAAGCATCACAGAATAGCCAGAGCACGCTGTCCGGTTGGGTAGTTGGCAGAGGGATACAGGTAAGAACAGAAGCTCTGCCAAGCCCTGCTCATTCGCTGTGGTAGCAGTAGGAAATAAGAGGTAGAAATGAAATATTTATTTTTTTGTAATTGGAGACATTTTATGTGGACTAAATATATTTATTTTCTCAGTAGACCCTGCTCCATTTCTATAACTTCCCACCTAATTGTTCCATTGAAATAAATTACAAAAATATCTCTGTAATCCCTATTATGCCTAGCATAGCAGGGTTTTTAAAAAATATAGTATGTGTGCAATCAGTATTTGTTAGTTAATTAGTTTTTACTGAGCCATCAATAATTCTCAGTTATGTTTGTGATTTTACCCTTGCAAGATAAATTGTTTTAGAGATTCCAAGTGAATAAATCAGACTAGGAGGTCTTTTAATGCTAATAATCTGTGATGATCAAATCTATCAGAAAGATCTTGGTAAGAAAAAAAGTTTTGCAAAAACCTAGGGTTTTAGTAGCCTGTATTAACATACAAGGGATTCCAGTAGAATAAATATTGCAGATAAAAGTTATGTATATGCATAGATAAAAAATCTGATAATTTATGAGTAGCCTTTGGTGTTACTGGATGTAACCCAATGGGTTCGTTGGTATGGTTTGGAGTGGCCAAGGAGAGCCTGCGGTTAATAGCATGAGTTTTGGATTCTAATTCCTGGGTTTGATTCCTTGTTCCACCACTTAACAGCTGTGTTGGCCTTAGGCAAGTCATTTCACCTATCTGTGTCTATTTCAATGATAATAGTAATTACTTTGTAGCATTGTTATAAAGGTTAAATAAATGAATTAGTATCTATAAAAAGCACTTTGAATATTATCTGGCACCTAAGCACTATACACATCTTCATGGTCATCTTTCCTTCTCATAGATACAGCTGACTTCCAAGCAGTCTTTGTATGCTTGGTGGCTAGAGACGTACTCCCCTCCAACCTTCCAAGATAAAGATATAAAACTTTGCCTGAAATTCTTGAATTTAAAAGCAGCTAAAATTTTTACTTCTCATTTATTAAGAGAGCTTCTCAAAAAAAATTTCTAGTGTTCATGGAATTGATGTTAAAAGCCAAGTAAGCATTATTTCACTGAAGTGTTTCAGCCATTGCCCTGGAATGGTCTTAAAGCAAGCAATCTGCTACTGAAAGTGCTGCCTTTGATATCAAATGGTCATTAAAAGTCTCATGACACTTAACTAAGACTTAAAATTATTCTTTTCTATCTCTTGGCAAGGGTTCAAATTTGAGATTAAATTCCCTTTAAGTGGTTAAGGCATTTATAGTCTCCCCTGTCTGATGCTTTTAAGTAGTTCTTTTATTGGAGGAGTACCGTCCTCACGTGTCTTGAGATGAAGAAATAGTCTTGTCATTCCAATACTTATTATTGAGTCAATCATTTAGAAAATGGATCCAGCAATTCCCTTTCTGGGTATCTATTCGAGGACTATGAAAACTACTTTGAAAAGGTATATGTACCCCTGTATTCATTGCAGCATTACTTACAAGAGCCCAGATATGGAAACAATGTTAAGTGTCTGACTGATGAATAGCTAAGGAAGATGTGGTATTTGCACACAATGGAATACTCCTTAAAGCCATAAAAAAGATGAAAAACCTTGCTATTTGTGACAACATGAATGCATCTTGAGGGTATTATGTTAAGTGAATTAATTCAGAGGGAAATGGAGAAAAACCATATTTCACTCATATGTGGAATATTAAATAAAGGAAACAAACAAACACACAAAACTAAACAAAAACTCATAGATATGGACGAGAGTTTGGTGGTTACCAGAAAGAGAGTGGGGTGGGAGAAGGGCAAAATGGGTAAAGGAGGTCAAATGTATGGTTAAGTATGCAAACTAGACTTTTGGTAGAGAACAAGCTATAGTGTATACAGATATTGAATTATAATTTTATATACTTGGAACTTATATGATGTTATTAACCAATGTTTCCTAAATTGAAAAGAAAAAAAGTTAAAAAGAAAAAGAAAATGCACGTGGCCCTTTGTTTCATAGTTTCTAATGCATTCCTTTTGTAAATTGTAAATTGACAAAATTCCTGACATTTAAAAATCGCTTAGTCTTCATTTTTTTATCTTTGCGAAAAACTCTCTGAGCACTCTTATCTCAGTAGTTCTTTGAGAAATACGTTAAAGAAATTCTGGAAGTGGACCCTTACAGATACAAAATGCTGAAGTAAAATATGATGCTAAAGGGTGATAAGAGAATAAACTGGACTTTACTGTGATAATAATGTGATAAGGTTTGAATATAATTCTTATGACTTCTAATTCTTTCAGAAAATCATAGTTAAAGTTACAGAAATATGTTTTGAAGCAGTAACACAAAGCATTAAAAATTAACTTCTCACGCATTCTTTTAAAACCTGGTAAGTGCTATTAAGCCTCTCAATTGTCAAAAAGACAGTTTTTGTCTTTTATATTGTGCCCAGATCTCATTACATGAAATTTCTATACAAATTTCCATGTTTTGAGGACGTTGATTTATAGGGAGATATTTCATCTTAGTTCTAGTTGGGGTTTCTCATCTCTTGTCTTCTCTGAGCCTTTTCATACATTCGCTCTTCTTTCTATCAAGCTGTTGTTCCCTAAAAGGGATGGGAGAGCGAGATTTGGGTTTCGTTTTATTTATTTCTTTGCTCCAGGCAGTGTCGCTCTGATGTTTCTCCAGCGTGGGCCTGGCGTTCCAGCTGCTGGGCTGGTGCGGCCCGGCCAGCGCGCCGGGCGTGGAGTGCAGGGGCGGGGCCTGAGCGCGGGGCGGGGCTTGCCCGCGGAGCGCGGCGGCTCGGCGCATCTCAGGTTGGCGGCTTCAAGCTCCGCCGGTGGCGACCGTGGCGGTGGCCGGAGCCGGATGCTTGTGGGCTCTGTGCAGCTCCAGACGTATTCCTTTTCCGAGCAGCGCCAGCTCGCTCCCGCAGGAGAGGGAGACCCAGCGGCGCTCTGAGCTAGAACTCTGGTGTCTCAACCTCGGGGCTCTTCGAGAGAAAGCTAAGTGCTCGCAGGTGCAGCCTGTGTCCCAGAGCTGTCCCGGAACGCCCGCCGTGTGACTGCGTCTCTTGGGAGGTTCGACTGCCGAGCCTTTTCCAGAGCCTGCGCGGAGGGCGCGCGGGGAGAGTGGGCTCCACGACGGAGAAAGGGGTGACCAGGACACAGATGATGGACGCACGGACCTGGCGCGTGGGCTGGCGTTGTCTCCTCCTTCTGGTTATCGTTGGGTCTACTCGAAGCGAAGGCGTGCAGAGCTGCGAAGAAGTTCGGAAACTTTTCCAGTGGCGCCTGGCGGGAGCAGTCAAGGGGCTGCCGGATTCGCCGAGGGCAGGTAAGGCGCTGCTGGCCAGTGTAGTACAGTGCGTCTGGACGCGGGGTCGGAGTCAGGGTCGGGGCCAGGGCGTTCTGAGCACCGACCTTGCCCTCCCTACGCTCTCGGGGTGGCCTTTAGTGGGAAGATGATCTCTCAGGCCCTCCAGCCGCTCAAGGTGAATCCCAGGAAGCCCTCTGGGGAAAGCTGGGTGTGAACGTCCCGAGCGCAGCTCCGGGAATCCCTGACTATGGGAGTAGTCAGCTGCTAAATTGAGCTCTGGGCATTTGCTTCCCACCCCGGCTCCGCTTAGTCTCGGCTGATACATTGGAAGAGGCATGTAAAGCAGACTGACTGCGCTTCTGTTGCGAGTGTGAATTTCACCAGTGCCCTGCGTAGGGACCCGTTTGTTGCTCTCTCGTATAGTGAGTGGACGGAGTTGGGTCGGTCGTTCCAAGTTTGATCATAAAATCACAAACCTCGGTTACGCTCCTTGCTGGAGAGTGGGACGCTGATAAGGCAGCCTGTTTCCTCTGTAATTAGGACTCGGACCCCGTACACCCACCCTTCCACACTGGCGTGACTCCTAGTCGCGTCTTGGAGCCCTGACATCAAGTCTTCTTTGCTGGAACCCAAACTGTCCAGGGTGTCTTTATAAACCATCGTGTAGTTTCAACTCCTGAAAGGTTTGATGGCAACAGGCGATCAAACGGAACGTATTGGGGAGCCACTGAACACGGATGAGATATACTAGAAATTGAAGGGGAAAGAATATAGTGAGCGTGGTCAGGGTAGATTTCTGGTTTCTCTAAGCGCCTTTGCCTGCCCTATTATCCTGCTCTCCGCCCCCACCGTGCAAATTTCCTTCAGCTGGTGGAATTTTTGTTTAAATTAGGTCCGAAAGCATGGGTCTTAATTGTCAAGCACAATAGCAGGTGTCCGAGCTAAGATCTTTCCGGGACAACATATCCTAACTATGAAGGCAACACAGAAGAATGCTGTGAACGTTTTGGTTGAACAAAGAACTTGTGAAGGATGCTTGGGTTTAAAATCCGTCCTTTGCCTGAGTGAGGAGACTTTCTTTTAGCACTATGAAGTAGCTATTTTGCTTTTACTGGTTGTGGACTCAGTTCTGGAGTCCTCCAAGGAAAATCTGGGCATCTCAGAACACTGAATCTATTTTAGTTTATGTGACCAGTCTTTTAAACAAACAAAATATTTTTTTTTTGACTATCATTTTGGTACTAGGTGCTTTTTCTGTACTATATGAAACGACATAGTTCATATTCTTAGTTTATGGCAATTCTTCTGTCCTCAAACATCACTCCCTTCTAACCTGTTTTCATATTTCAGTGTATTCTTTTTATTAACAACTGAATCTCACTTATTGGTAGCTAATAAAACCTCACTTATCAGGGTGTGTATGTTGGGAAGGGGGTGCTATGAGGGCATTGAGCTGTGAAATCCTCACCTGCATTATTAAATTTTGCCTCCCATATAATTTTGGCTATGTTCAGTGAATGTTGACAGTTCCCCAGCAAGGCCTTGATTTTACTCGCCTTTCATGTCTCAGTATTTCTGGTACCTGCTTGGATGCAACACATTGACTGGAAGGTGTTACATTTCTAGAACCTCATCTCTTTTGAAGAGGAACTTTACGGAGTATTAGTCACTGACATAACATTTTACCAGGATATAAGGGGGAAACTGAAGCTCTGACTTGTAGAGAAGAAAATGGTTGTACTTATTTGCATTTAATACTCATGGCACATAAAAAGAGCCAGGATGACAAGCACCTTCTCTTCTAAGACATTGTGACATGTTTCCCCGTTGCTAGTGCCTTTCTTGATCTTTGGCTTAAGGTGATGGAGGAATCACAGTAGCACCTGTAACGGGCCTGTGCAGGGTTACGCTTTTAGGGACATCAGTGGTGCTGGTGGAAAGGAGTGCTACCTTCCTTTGATATTTGCATTAAGAAAAAGTCATATGAAAGTATTATTCTGAATTAGAGTCACGCAATAAAAGGAACTAAAATATTCTCATTCTCAAATTGAGTAAACCACACATACCATATGCTACATAAATGCTTCTCTTTATTTTTGTATTTATGTATGATCTGTAACATTTAGCTTGATTAGATATAGTAGTTGACTGTCTTATTTTCTAAAATTACCCTCAATTTCAATATATAAGTAGTCATTTCCATATAAGAATACAAATATTAATATTCTTTGTAACAAATATACTTATTTAGCACATAGGCCTTCACTGACTAAAGCTAATACATTTAAATTTCATACTTGTTTCCTTGAAAGTATTTTTAGTGCTCTCTTGCATTTCTTGTCCACAAGTGGTTTATTTCTGGGATGCTTAACCAAAATGCTTTTTAAAAAATCTAAGCAGATATAATAACTTTTTACAGTTTCTTCCTATATTTGTGGCTTTTGCATCTTCTGAAAACCATCTTACCCAATTTGAAATTATTAAAATGTTGAGAAGGGCCATTTAAACTGTTTCTCAGATTCCCCTCACCTTTGTTCTCTACCCTGCTCCAATTCTTTTAAGCCTATTGAGCTCCTAAGGATGTTTGGATGAGAAATGTGAAAAAGGAGAGAAGGTGTAAATGTGATTAGAATTACAGATTTCCCTGTGTTCTGATTTTATTTCCTAAGTAGTAGTCAAGGTGCCCTTTGCTCTCGTTTATTTTATTCAGAAAAGGACTGTTAGTCAAAGTGTCTTAAAAGTCCTTTTATTTTTATTTTATTTATTGGGGTGGAGGGATAGTGCTTTCCCATTGAAATTCTCTTCACATGTGCATTGTTCACACATGTATTATTTCCTATTTTAAAGACGATCATTCAGAAAGAAAAGGCTTATAAAAAAGTCTAAGACTACATTCAGATAATTTATATACCAACTGATTTTGAAAATGTGGATATTCGTTGATACAGAGAGTAGTTTGTGAAAGTGTGTACACCATTTTCTTGGTAGCTTTTGGCTACAAATAGGATAATAAAAATAAACTTAATGTGGCAAAATGAAATCTTGACTATAGGATAGTTTAAGTAGTGCTCTATAATTTTAATTTTTAACTGCTTTCATTGTAATCAAATCTTATAATTACTTCAAAGACAGTGTTATTTCATTCTCACACTCAAGAGAAATACTCTACCTGGTAACATTGGAGTTTGGAATCATAGACATTTGGGTTTCAAAACCTGGTTCTGTCACCTGTAGCTCTATGACCCAGGTTAATCAGTTATCTTTGAACCTTTGTTTTCTCATCAGTAATATGGGAATATTAGTTCTTAAAGGGTTGCTGCATCGATGAAATGAAGTAATGTATGTATGTAAAATAGCACAAATCCACGCACATAGTAAGTACTCAAAAATGAGTTGTTGTCATTACAATTTTTATTTAGTGTCTTGATTTTAACTGGACTTGGCCTTTAAGGGTTAAATTTTGGTTTTAGATCTCTGTATATTAGTAGATGCTTTTATAACAACTAGTTTTTTTCCCCAAGTCACAACTGATTGTTTCTAAAATTGGGAAATGCATTCCTATTGGAAATGGCATTTATTAGGTTGTGGTCAACATTTTGTTTCTTTTCATGAACTAATGGAAACTCTAAGAAAGAAACGAGACTATAGGCAGCCAGAGCTACTGCCTCCACTGCCGCCGCCACCACCACCACCACCATTCTGCTGTCTGTATTCAGGGAGGTGAAGTAGTGTATATTGGTTGGGTTAGGAATTCACACAGTTAGATGGCTGGTGGCCATAGTCACTCCTTGACTGTAACCTTAGGTTGAGACTCTTATTTCTCACGAACTAACCCCTTTTGTTGATTGAGTGGCATAGTTATGGTGTTCGAATTTCCAAAGCTATAAAAGGGACTTATGGTCTGACATTGGGGCAGATTATTATCAGGATTGCCTTGTATTGAAGCCCACTATCCAAGAACCACCAGAAACACACCTATTGTCAAACAAATTAAGTTCATTTTGCTTGCTGCAGCAAGAGAGATTGTACACCATAGGAACTGTGGGTGTCTTGGTAAGAGGCAATTGAGAGGGGCTTTTTATAGGATTTGGGCTTGTGCTGAGTGATTACAAGGAGGGTTTAATAAAACAGGGCAGTTCAGAAATTGGGCGTCTTTGTAATTTATCTAGGCTTTACGAAGATTAAGATATGAGTAGTTGTTAATGAAGAAGCAGTAATCACTCTTGTTGGTCAAAAGAAGTGGATTGTGATTTGTAGAGGGTCCTTGTGGCTACCTTGCTGTACCACAGGTCTCAAGTAGCTTTGTCTCATCATTGTTTTCCTATTCTTTGCATGTTCTCTGTGTTGAGTTGTAAACATCAAGGCCTAATTTCAGTGTCAGGGCAGTTTGTTACTTTCTCCTCTAGAAAGCCCAGTACGTGCTTTGATGTCTAAGAGAATCATGGGTTTCATTTTTATCCAGGCCTTTTAGTAAAGCTTAATGGTAGGGAAGTGAGTATGATTTTCTACTTTAAGGACATGGAATATGATTGTCCATTAGGGGCCTGTCTTGTACTAATTACACTCTATTCCCTCATTGGTAAAGGTTGTGTGTGATCCTGTCCTCCCATTATTCCAGAATTTATTTTTGCCAAGTGTCCAACATCCTGTATTTGTATAGTTTGTGTTATGAGGAGCTTAATTTGGGGAACTTAAGAATAGCATTTTATAATTATCCTACTCTCCTCCCAACCACGTTTCCAGCTTTTCAAGATTTTCTGGCCTACGGCCATGCCACCCTTAACAAACCCGATCTCATCTGATCTCGGAAGCTAAGGAGGGTCGGGCCCTGCTTATTATTTGGATGGGAGACCACATCGGAATATTAGGTGCTGTAGGCATAAAAAAAAAAAAAAAAAAAAAAAGATTTTCTGGAATATGGATTTTTCTCTTGTTTGTGTGTGTGTAATTTACTTTCCACATTTGATAAGAATACCTTCTAAGTCTATAATGTTTTTTAGAACTGTTAACTGGTGTAA